TATATATATATATATATATATATATATATATATATATATATATATATATATATATATATATATATATGATCTAGAACTCCTAAGGGGGATTAATCATTTATGACCTTTTTATTATTAAATTAAAAGAAATGAGGTTGATAACTTTTAGTTAAAAAAAGAGAGTTGAATAACCGTTTGAAAAAATTACCAATTGAAAAAAACAAATAACCTATCTTATTCTTGATGTTATAGAACACATATTTTATAAAAAAAAGAAATGCGTAAATATCTTTTAAATAATAATATTGATAATATAAAATATACTTTATACTGGTAATGTCTATAACTTAAACCATAAATAAAAGGTAAGGTTAGGCAAGAAATTAAGAAGTGCTGTATTTAGAAATATATTTTGTAATTTGCTATTTAAATTAATCATATCTCAATATGAATATTAGATATTAAATAAAAAAAAAATCAAACTTTCAAATAAGAAGAATATATTGAATTAATATCTTACAAACACTTGTCCACTTTTAGTTTGTCCTAATAAATGTAAGCAATTAAAAAGAAAGTGCTTTAAAATTTTCTTGTTTAGGACTTGAGTATAGTAATATATATATATATATATAGGACAAAGATTACACTATTTTTTGTTCGTAATATACAGTGAAGATGTGTACTGCACTGATTAAGCAACATTTTCATGATGCCGCATCTTTTTAATTATTTGTGCTTCTTTTCATGATTGACATTTTAATTTATGTCACTTTGAGGTGATTTAGGCCTTTTATGGTTGAGACTTTTTCACGTTTTTATTTATTCATTTTTAATTATGTTATCTGTTTCAGTTTATTTATCTATTTAATTGAAATATTTTTAATATAATATATTTAAAATCATAAAATTTAAAAGTATTTTAATTTTTAAAATTATATATGAAATTAAAATTAAATAAATAAATAAAAACAGAGACAACATTAAGTTTTTGGAAATTATTTAATTGATGAATTTGGTGAGCTAATTTATCTTTCCTGTAAGATTTAAACTTCTAATACACAATTACCCAAGGTTATAATAACGAGAAGGAAGGATAAATTAAATACAGTATTTTATTTTTTTTAATTTTTGATTTAAGGTTTTAGATTTGACCTTCTAGAATTTTGACTGGTACAATCCTTTCAGATAGGTGTGTATAAAAATTGAACTGATAATAAATTAAATTTAAAAAATGTTATAAGATTATTGATATTGGATTATTTAAGTACACTTGTCATTTTGAAATTCTGAATACGTTTGTTATTCACCATGAACATTAGAAACAAAGTCAGTAAGACAAAACGAATCTACTCAAATTGATTTATCAAAAAATTATAATATATAATATATACATGAACAAATTTCTTATATACATATAAATTTGACCTTAGATGAAATATTCTAAACTTTCTTAGAAATAGATCTAGTTGGTAAGTAAAAGGGAGTTTATTCAAATCCCTTCATTTAAAAAATGGAATATATTATATATACATACACAAACAAATTTCTCATAAACATATAAATTTTATTTTGATGAAAAATTCGACTTTGTCACTTAATCATGATATTCAAATGGAGTGCATTGCCCTGTAAGTTATGTGAAAGATAATTATGGTTACAAGTCATTTTAAATGGTTCCACAAAAATGGTGTACAGTCTTAATATAACTCAACAAATTAAAGTGGATGTATTATTCATAGAGTGCATCCACTCAACTAGACAATGCGTGTTGTTGTGTACCACTTCCCTAAGAACAAAATAAAATTGTCATCATTAAAACTTGTATCATTATCCTATTTTTGATCTCCATTTCACAAACCAATATCAATCTTTTGATTTGTTATTAACTTTATTTAGGTTCACTCTAATCATACGAAACACTAAGTTACTACTCCGTAAAAAACAAAGTGTCATATATTCATGTGGTGATTTGATTAGATTTATATTTTGAATATTGTAAGCTTCATTTATAGAGACAGTTTAGCATTTTCAATAAGATTTTTTCCCCAACAAAAGTGTTGGTCTGAGCTTTGAAACTTATAGGTTCTTGGGATTTCAAAGAGGAATCAAATCCTCAACAAGGAGAGTAACAAAACCTGAACAAGTTTCATTCTAATAAGTTTTTTTCATCGCAAATTAATGCGAAATTTATGTTACAAAACATAATTATTCTGTCCTAGTATTCTAGCCTCATTGAACCAGCTCATCAGATAACCACCTGATGAAAAATAAATTTCATCGAAATATTAGAAACAACCACTAATTTCTTTTTCTTTTTCACTAATTCACTTAAATATTTGTATAGTTAACATTTTTTGGTAAGAAATAATATTTTCTTAGTAGTGAAACCAAGAAATTTCTCATTAGTAGATTTCCAACAAAAATTTTTTTTTATATTAATATAAACTTCTTAATAATTCCCCAAAACTTGCTTCCCCCATCTTAGATCCGCCCTAGATGAAGAGGCAGAGGCGAAACTCGATAAAATTCATGAGTTTAAATAAATTTATTAGTTCTTTCATAAATTTCATATTTTTATTAAATAATTAAATAAATATGTGTATATTAACACGTGAATGTGAATCGATTAGAATCCCCAAATTTGTAACACTGGTCTCTGTAAAGAGGGTAGGGTGTGGAGGGGAGGGGAGGGAGGGGGTGGGGTGGGTATTAATGGAATACACGTGTTCATTCAAGTGTCACGTGACTTAGGACAACAGTACAAAAATTTAATGCATGAAAATTCTTGTTGTTTGAATCAGTTTCAGATAAAAGCTATAACTGTCTGGATTTTTCATGTGAATTCCTGAACAAATAGACAGATTATTTTGGATATATACATATATATTTAAGAAAAAAAGTTTATCAAAAAAGAAATTAATTTTACGACACATTATAAATATTTTTTAAATTAAAATTGTACTTTTTATAGAAGTTTGATAAAATATACTTAACACATGATATGATCAATAAATAGTAGGGGTGGATCAATAAATTGTAAAGTTCAAACAAGAACTAACAAAATCCCATAAAACTTTGAAAGAAATAATTTTTTGCTTTTTTGCTATTCAAATTATACAATAAAAAATAAATAAAGGTGGTGGTGGTTGTGTGTGTGTGGGGCGGGGGGGTGGGGGTGGGGTGGGGTGTGATTTTCATGATATTCAAGCATTTTCAGAATTTGGGATCTCAGGTCTGAGGACCACATCGAATTTACTGTCTACCTAACTATTCTTAATTTGGATGAATCACACCACTTATGTGAAAAATATTATTATAATTTACTATTGAAATTGAACATGAATACTTACCCTTGCTATTTATATTTAACTAAATAATTAACTTTAAAAATTAATTAATCTTTAACAAAAATATAACTAGATATAAACATCTAACACACATAAATTTTAACTCCTAAAGGTGTATAAGCATTGAATAATGAGCTTTAACATACCTAGCATATGTTCCAAAATCAAAAAGTATGATATCCTTATTTAAAATTACCAATATATATAAAGTTTTCCCAATTCATTCTCCAAAAAATATATACATTTCCGGAAATTCCCACATAAGGGAAAAAAAGAGAAAAAAAATAAGATTTTTTTTTCTTTTTCTCTTTGAAATTAAAGGACCTAATCTCATCATGCTTACCATATGACTCTGAAATTCATTCCGTTAACTAATTCGTATTTGTGTCACGTTAACCACAAAATCATTTTCAGAAGTTGAACTCGAGACCTCCTTTTCTCTCTCTCCTACGAGCGTTTTTTCACAATTTTCAAGACTTGAACCCGAGACATCATTTTCTTTCTCCTCCTTCTCTTCCGCCTCGGATTTATCCGTACTACTCTCACTACTCGCGGTACAACCGCTATTGCTACCAAAAGATGAAGCTCTACTAGACAAACTTGGTGTAGCAATATAAGTTGGCTTTAATTGTCCAGCCATAATCACCAAAAATTTCTCTTCAAGAATTGGTGGTTCCACCATTTTACCATCTCCACCATTACTATCATTATTATTATTATTTCCTTCTTCAAGATCACCTTCTTGATTTTCTTCAAGATTACCACTAAGTTTCCAATAAGAACAAGCTAAAATTAGTAAAGCAAATGCAATTAGCCCTAACATAGCTGCTAATCCTCCGAATAAATACGGCACCGGTGAGTGCCACGGTGACCGTAGCGGGCCCACCGGTGCAATAGACGATGACGATCCCTCCAAATTCCTCATCGTTGTGAAAAATAATCTTCTCGTTCCAAATAGACTAGTTATGTTATAAGTACAACTGTAGACTCGTAATTTTTTTCGTATGATAAATTTTTAAAATAATTTTTAAAAAATTTGGATCTTTTTTTTTTTGGATGAATGATGAAGATGGTGATAGTGGTAACAGAGGAGGAGAAAGGGTATAGAATGAAGATGATGAGTAAAGGAAGGTGGTTATATATAGAGACTAAAGAGAGTGGATTTATTTATTATTATTTTATAAATTTTATTTTATTTATTTATTTTGAGTGAAATGTTTCGTCATTGCATGAAAAATGGGGTCCATATATAGATTGTTTGTTCTGTTATTTTATTTATGTTTTTTTTTTGGGAGGGACAATCTATGAATATAAAAATATACTACACTTGGAAAAAGAAAAATAATTAATGAAAAGGTAATTGGCAAAAAAAGAAGATTGATAATTGTGAATGTGTTAAGAGGGACCCAATCATTTTTTTTTTTAACTTTTTGTTAATTTTAAATAGTGTTTTCATAGAGTACCTTTTTTGTTTAGTCGTTTTGCTTAAAGATATATAGTAGGAATTTTTTGGATTGTCTTGCATAGCATAATAATGATTATAGTCCTTGAACAGAATTAAAGGGATTTGATGTATACAAAAGCAAATTTGAGATCTAGTGATGTAATTAAAATTTAACTTATATAACTTAGATGAAATAAATTTTTTAAATTTCGTAATAATTTATATGTCTTATTTTTAAGTAACTGACTCTTGATCCCATTAAAATAAAGAAAATATTACTCATTGTTCTCGTAATTTGATTGAACATAAAATTTAAGATAATAATTCTAAAGTATTAGAAATTCTCTATAGATTGTACAAATTTATAAAATTTGTCTTCTAATAGGGCCATAAGGTTCGTAAAAAGCATATGACATAAGTAATAAACATACTTACATGACTAACTCTTGTGTTTAGTACGAAAGAAAAATATTTTTTGAAAATTATTTTTCAATTTTCTTATGTTTAATTGGATTAAATATATTGAAACTGCATACATTGATAGATAATCAATTAAATATGCTTCATCGATAATATAGATTATGTACACAGAAAGTTATAGTCATTAAGTGTATATAAGTAAATTACTTATATATTTATATATTAAATCTTGAACGCATAAAATTTTTTGCCCATATTATACACATATGTCCAACTATTTGATATCACAATATATAGAACTTTGTTTCCATTTACTTTCTCCATAATTGAGTTAAGAATTAATTCCTAGACTTTCAATCAAAACTTTTTCATTTTGTTATTTTTCTGAAACTAATTGAATTTTACAATAATAAGGAATTTCTTATACGTAATATCAAAGAGAGAGAGAGGGTGTCCATAAAAAGCTTCATTAGGCTCATCATTTATTCTACTTTTAAGAAAAGTCTAAAATTGCTGAATCACCCATCATAGAGCTTAGTAGAGTTAGCTTTTAAGTTTCATATACATTGTGTGGACCCAACCTTACTGTATTGCATGGGTTGGGGATGGCAATAATTGGCTATGCACTTCGGTCACGATCGAATGTCTAATATTCATATTAGAATCAAATTAAAAAATTTCACATTAATTAACTTTTGAAACCTCTCTATCTATGTACATATTCATGCTCAAATCAATTGGTTGTGAACTTTATGTTTATTCTTCATCCGATTTGATGTTGAGTGTCTGATAATTATATTAAAGTTTGATTAAATTTGAATTGTGTCGAAGAAGTCTCACTCTGAAATATAAAATGCTTCTTTTAAAGGTGTTCGTACCCTTGACTCAAATCAATTACTTATGAACTTTGTTTTTGTTCAGTACTTCATATTAAAGCTTGTGTAATTAAATGTGACTCGTATTTGAAAGTTTTCGTATTGAAAGTTTAATCACTCGTTATAGGAGTGACTTCACACCTATAAGCCACGTTAAATTTTTTAATTAAGAAAAAAAATAAAGCCATACTTAGAACTATATCCTAAAGTTACTAGAGTTGGCTTTTAGGATCCATATTGGGACCATTCATTAAGGAAAATATATAATTGGTTGAGAACTTGCTAGGATTAAAGTTGTGAAAGTTAAGTTAGATATGACCCCAACTGGTTATTACGTCTTATACGTGAAAAATTGAAAGAAGAAAAAAAATCTTGTGTGGCAAAGTCGATTTTGGAGGTAAATTTAATCGTACATTATTAAAATTTACTGATCTGATTATTCTTATTAATTTATTGTGTATAATAAGTTGGAAAAAACGCTTTTTGTCAAAGAAATTTTTAATTTTCAAAACTATAATCAAACACCACTAATTAAGGATTGATTGATTCCATCCATAGAAATCGATTTTTCAATTTCTTTTTTCTACTGCATCCTAAGTGTGATGAAACTTTCTTCGATATCACTAAATTATGAACTCATTTACGTGAACAAGTTACAAATTTGATTACGAAAAAGAAAAAATATTACTTTTTAATTGAAGGCTACAATTCTCAATTACTAACTTTTGATTTTATCTAAAAATTCTCCACTTTATGAAACAAAACAAATATAACAGACAATTTTCCATAGTGTAACTCTGTAACCCCACCCTATCAGGCTTTTGGCAGCTGGAGATTTTAACAGATGAATACTTATCCCCAAAAATTCTCTAAATATACTTTCATTATGAAATTAAAACAGCAATAAATAAATAAAATCAATAAATAATATTTGAAATTGACCAATCACTTTCTTATCATATATTCATATTCTGCATAAATCCGAATTAAAGGTACAATATATTCTTCTGGTCTAAGTTTTCGTTTATAATTAATCAAAACTTAAAAACAAATTGAGAGACGTTCATCTTTAAGTATAATTTCTTTACTAATTGATCATGTGTATATCTAATAATAAAAAAGAACTATATAAGCCAATTATCTACGTAATAATACAGGTAAGACATCATTCTTGTTCATTATATATATAAAAATAATAATTAAAGAATAAAATGTGTTAGCAAGTAAGATTGATCCAAGGTTGATTCTCTCGTATTGGACTTGGCTAGTGCAGTTTACATGTCTTGTGTGGTTTGCAAGTTATTATAATGTAGAGAGGGGGGAGGGTTACCCAGTGCGCACAAAGTGTTCATCACATTGTGTCCACCCGAAAAATAGATGTTGTTATAGAGATTGTATCAATCGTTGATTATTCTGAAATTCAAAAAAAAATTGTCAGCGATAACAAAAATCTTCATTTCTTAGCTATGTGTTTTCGTAGCGACAAATTATCGACTTTTTTTGTAGCTATATTTTATTTTTTCTTTTTAATTTGAATTCCCTTTTGAAGGATCTAATAATCAATACTCAACAATACATTCTCTTTATTATTTCTTTCTCTTTAGTAACTGAATTTGTTGCAATCGAGTTGAGTATTTTTTTTTAACATACTTTTTTCAATTTTTACAAAATAATGATAAAGTTTGCATAAATTTTATATCACTAGTAAATTTCACTGATTATATTATTATTGTACTCCATAGTGTGCTTAAATCAATTCTATTTAAGAGTCATAATTTAATTATTAAATGGTAAATTAATAAATTACATCAGTGGTGTTTGGTTATATTAGGAATTGTAACATACTCCCTCCGTCTACCGGTATTTGTTATGATTTTTATTTTTTAAGTCAAATTATAAAAATTTTGATAAATATTTTAAGATATATTTTTTCATCATATTGATATGTAGATAATTGTAATTTATTATACTTTTCATATAGCATTAAATATCTAAACTTTTTACTTAAAATATCAAATTAATATAATATAATTTTAATTTTAAAATTAATCAAATTTACTTTCGGAAAATGCAATGTAACGAATAAAAGTGAAGTGTGGGAGTAATTTAGAAGGGGTGGGGTTTTGCTTGATGAAAATAGCTATTGAGACAGTTTCATGACATAATGTGTAACAGTTCTTAAAAGACAGGAAACGGTTTCTATGCTGATATGTTCTCTCGTCTTGGTAACTGCAATTCTCACACCATTTTTGTTTCCATTGTTTGTTTTTTTTTTAAAATTTATTTCTGTTGGATATTTATATTAAATTTTAAAAAGAAAAACTTATAATTATGAGAAGTTTTATATACATATGTTACTTAGATATGCGTACGAAAGACATATCTTATGTTTTTTGATGTGATATTAATATGTAATGTGTAGCGATGAAGGTAGAATTTTAATTAAGATATATTAAATATTTATTATATTAATATAATTTGATGATGAAGATATTTAAATAAATTTCTTTTGATCGTTTTAACTCTGGCTAATTGAACATACTTTTAATCAATTTCTTAAAATTACAAAAAAAAATTGCATCGAAAATAATTGATGCCAAAAATATAGAAGTTCTCTCACACTTGCGTAATAGATTTTGTAGTAATTTTTTTTTTGTCTATTATAAGCAATAAAGTTGATTAATCATTAAAAAAGTATTTCTTATTTCATCTTTTAGATTTGTATGTCACCATAAAATATCTTTTTTGATTTTAAAATAGCATATACTTGTAGATCCTATTGAACTATAAGATAATAATGGATTCATACTAATCCTCACATTGTATCATTGTAATGAAGAAATATTCAAACTTAGAATATGATATAAAGTATCCTCATATCAATAAAAAGTTGCCTCCATAATTTTTTTTTGTAAATAAAGACATCTATAAAAGCAAAATACACTTGAAAGCAACAAAAGAAAAAGGAAGAAAAGGAAAGGGAAAATGAGGCTCCTTCCCTCCTCCCCTCCCCCTCACCTCCTTTCTTAGAATTTATCGGCTCGACTAATTTAGATTCGTATTGCTTAAAATTTATTAATAAAAAATTATTTTTTACTAAAAATTTTCTCATTCCCATTAAGGGTTACGAGTGATTTACGTTCATTTCATCACGATTTTTTTCTTCCCACTTGTTTACGGAATACCTTTTCTTTTTCAAAAAAATTTAATTATATATAAGGTGGAGAGAAAGGAAAAACCAAGACGGAGTTAATAAAATGGAGAATCGAATCCCCTTCAACAAAGATAAAAGTTCTAATAGTCATACCCTGAACAACTGAATTCTTAGTTA